CTGCCTCAGCCTCCCGAGTAGCTGGGACTACAGGCATGCGCCACCATGCCCAGCTAATTTTTTCTATATATATTTTTAGTTGGCCAATTAATTTCTATTTATAGTAGAGACAGGGTCTCGCTCTTGCTCAGGCTGGTTTATAGTCGCTCTTGCTCAGGGCGGTTTCAAACTCTTGACCTCCAGTGATCCTCCTGCCTCGGCCTCCCAGAGTGCTAGGGTGACAGGCGTGAGCCACCACCTGTCATCCTAGAGGAGGAGGAGAGGCTCCTCCCTCGTGATGCAAGGTCATCTCTGCCCAGATGGCCCCCAGGCTCCTAGGGGCGAGCTCTAGGAGGGGCCTCCCCACCCCAAGTCCAGGCCCTGCATCCCCCTTCCTCCTGGCGGCAGCGGGCCCTGCTCACACCGCCCCTGCTCACAAAACCCCCTGCTCACACCGCCCCTGCTCACACAGCCCCCTGCTCACACCGCCCCTGCTCACACCGCCATGCTCCACACGCCCCTGTCCCACCGCCTGCCACCACGCCCTGTCAACGCCCTGCTCAACCACCCGCTGGCTCACACGCTGCCTGCTCACACGCCACTGCTCACACCACCCTGCTCACCGCCGTCACCACCCCCTCTCAACCGCCCGTCACACTGCCAGCTCACACCGCCCCTGCACCGCCGGTTGCATCCACACGCCCCCCAACGCCGCGTGCTCACACCATCCCTGGCACACCGGCTGATCACACCACCCTGCTCACACGCCCGCTCACACAGCCTGCTCCACCCTGTCACCGGCAGTCACCACCTGCTCACCACCGCCTGGCTCACAGCTGCCCAAGCTCACACCGCCCCTGCTCACACAGCCCGTGCTACACCGCCGCTGTCACAGCCGCAGCGTGTCACACCACCCTGCTCACAATGCCCCTGCTCACACCACCCTGCTCACACCACCCCTGCTCACACTAGCCCGGCTCACAGCGCGGGCGCGTGCTGCACACCGCCCTGACAGCCGACCTGCTCCACCGGCGCCGCGTCCCCGCCCGGCTGTACACACCCTGCTCACACCACCCTGCTCCACACGCCTGCTCACACGGCCGCCCCGCCCCACAAGGCGCGCCGACGAGTGGACGGCGCTGCTTCCGGCAGTGATCCGCGGGGAACTCTCCAAGGAAGACGACGAGGAGAGCTCCGAGAAACGGATGATTGGCCTACCGCTTCCGGCCCAACCCCCTGGTACGTGAGCCCTCTCCCCCATCCCCCCACCAACCCTGTGCATGAGCCCGCTCCCCATTCCTTCGCCGCACCTGGTGCGTGAGCCCTGCTCCCCACTGTCCTCCCGCCCAACACCCTGGCGTGAGCCTGCTCCCCGACTGTCCTCGCCCAACGCCACTGGTGCGTGAGCCTGCTCCCGCCACTGTCGCCTCCGCCAACCGCCTGTGCGTGAGCTTGCTCCCCACTGTCCCTTCCGGCCCAACCCCCTGGTGTGTGCCCTGCCCACTGCCCTCCCGCCACCTCCTGGTGTGTGAGCCCTGTCCCCACTGTCCCTGCGCCGGGCCTGCCCGTCTCAGTTGCCTGTCGCGGGTGGTGCAGTCACAGGAGGGTCCCTCCCTACCTGGCTCAGCAGGCCAGTCTCACAGGGACCCCTGCCACTCTGCCTGCACTCAAGCCCCACTCCGACCCCCAGGTGAGCTTAGCCGCCCCGGAAGGTTCTGGACAGGAGGAACTGCTTCTCTTCAGCGCTAAGCCTCCCCTTTTTATCTTTGCCTTCCGTAGAACAATCCCCGGCGGCCTTACTACTGAGTCTTCTGGAAAAACACACTGACCGACTGGCTGACCGTCCATCCCTGGTCCCTGGACTGTGGAATGTTCCGGCCTGCATTTCTGCCCGTCCTCCTGTTGTCCCCGTGTCATGCTGTGTATTAAAGTCCCAGTGCTCACCCACCGCAGCAGCCTGGTGCTGCCAGCCGCCGGCAACGCCTCCAGTTCCTCAGCAGCGGGGCTGGGCCGGGCAGGTGGGGCGGGACGGTGTCTGGAAGGCTCCGGCACCCGCGGAATCCCAGAGCGCCGTCGGCCCTCGTCTGCCTGGGGTCTCCGTCCCTGCCGTCCGCGTTGCCGTTGAGTGGGGACCCTCGGGGCCCCTCCGGCGGAGAGAAAGGCTTCTCGGGACAGTAACCTCGAGACGTGGCCGCGCCTGGGCCAGAGGGGCGTCAGGACCCCCTAGCGAGCTCCGTGCCGCATGCAGGAGGAGGTTGGGGGCTCTCCACGCAGCGTCCAGCGTTTGCCCTCAGGCCTGCAGAGCACGCCTGTGCCCTCTCCCCCCGGCAGGCCGTGCAGGCAGGGCCCAGCACACACACCTCGGCCGGCCCAGCAGCTGTGTCGTGGCACGCGGGTCCCCGAGGCCCACGCCCTGGGAGGCAGCCGTGCCACGCCGACTGACACATCAGGCACCTGGGGGGGGGTAGGCAGCCTCAGAGCAGGAGGGTTTGAGGCAGGATGGTGGCCCAGGCCAAGGCGTGTGCCTAGACTTCCCACGTTTTCGCAGGGCCAGAGCCTCAGCATCTGTGCAGAACCCCCCCCCAGGGGCTCGTTCAGCTGCAACTGCTGAGCCAGGGGGTGGGGCACAGCCCTGGGAATCCTCACTCCCCCCAGTGGGTAGCCAGTCCCACGGGGGGTCTCGTGCATCTGCCCCCACACACCTGGCAGGTGCTGCCCTGCGGGGACCAGGGTCTCCCTATCCACAGGCCCCTGGCCAGCGAGCACTCTCAAAGTCACTCAGCAAACACCGAGTGCCAGCTGAGCCAGGCGGACAGCACCTGCCCCCAGGTGGCCGGTCTGCTGGGGCTGAGGCTGAGGTGATCGTGAGGAGTGACGCAGTGACGAATGCTACCAGAGGAGCCGGGGCGCCTTGCTGGAGACAGCTGGGGACTGTCTTAAGGGGGTCTGGGGACCAAAGAGGTTTACGAGGCGGTGGCAGAGCCAGGCTACCTGTCACCCCTCCCTGGATGCTGGCTCTGAGCCGGGCCAAGCGCACCGGTGGGCTTGGCCCAGGTGCCCACGCGTGGGGCTACCGACAGGCAGTGGCCCGGGGTCCGGGGGTGTTAGCTCTGGGCGGTCCATGGTCCGGGAGACGGGACCCTGGGGCTTAGTCCCGGGCACCCAGCTATCTAAGTCACCACTCTGCTCCCAGTGACCCGGAGGCTCACCAGGCCCAGGGCATGGACTTTACTCCCAGGCGGGGGAAGAGGAGGCCTCCAAATGCCATGTGGGTGTGTAGGTGTGTCCTGGCCAGGAGTGGGGCGGGGGTGGCCAGGAGGGCTGCCTGGAGGAGGGGACACTGAGACGACCCGCTTACGACAGGGTCTGTCTGGCAGACACGAAACAGGCCTGTGAGGTCCTGGCACCCGGGGAAGGTCAGCGCAGAGGAACCTGAACTTCACCCCGGGGCGACAAGCACGTGGGGAAGGTGATGGAGTCGGGTCCTATTGGCGGCCCGGCTTGGGCAGACCCGTTTGGCATAAGGCCAGGCGCTGCACGGCGGAGGAGGGGGCCCCAGGGGAAGGGGGTTAGAACTGGGCCCAGCCGTGGGCTGCCGCGGGGATGGGTGGGAGGGGGGCCGAGGTGAGCATGAGCCAGAGTCCAAGGCTGGCAGGGGCGGGTGACAGAGAGATGGCCTCCTGACTCTGCTCACGCCGCAGCCCCTGCCCGGCCAGCTCCTCTCTCTGCACCTGCCTCTCCCTGGAGCCTGCCCAGCCTCCTTCCAGCTTCCAGCACCTTCCCGGCAGCTGCCCCACCTGGCACCACTTCCCAGCTCCGCGGGCCTCCTTGCCACTGCTCAGCTCTGAGCCTGCGTCAGCCTGCCAGGAAGACTGTTCCCAAACTCTTCACCAAACGGGCTCATCCCCACATGCTAACTGCCACCCCTCCTCCTTAGGACCCCTTCACCGCACCCCCTTCCCTCGGGAATGACCCCCCAACTCGGGCCTCCTGCGTTGAGACAGCACCCCCCCAGTCAAATCTTCACGTGACCTGGACAAGTGCCTCAGTGGCCACTGCGTGAAAACTCACATCTCAGCACACTGGAGGGCACTTTGGGCCCATGCAGACGAAGTTCCGGCAACAGCCCCCACGGGCCAGGCCTGGAGTTGGGGCCGGAGGGTGTCTGGGCAATGTGGGAAGTTAAAAAAGGTCGGGACGCCTTCTTTGACTTGACAAGTCAGAAGTGCAAAAGGTGGCTGGGCGGGGTGGCTCACGCCTGCCTGTAACCCCAGAACTCGGGGAGGCATAGAAAAAAATTAGTCGGGCGTGGTGGCGCATGCCTGTAGTCCCAGCTACTTGGGAGGCTGAGGCAGGAGGATCGCTTGAGCCCAGGAGTGTGAGGTTGCTGTGAGCGCGGCTGACACCACGGCACTCTAGTCCTGGGGAGAGAGTGAGACTCTGTCTCAAAAGAAAAAGAAATGCAAAAGGAGACCTAAATAGAACGAAGTTGCTGGGGCAGCCCCGGGACCTCCAGGACGCAGCCCTGGCGCTGAGAGCGGAGCGGAAGCGCCAAGAATTGCTGTTTACCAGCCTTGGATAGGGAAACTGAGGCTGAGAGACCGCGGGGTGCGCAAGGGGAGCGGCGAGCGGGCGGGGCCCGGGAGGCTCCCCCAGAGTCCAGGCCGGGGCGACCTTTGCGCGGGGCGGGGCCCTGGCCACTCCGGCCCGGACGCGGCGCCGCGGAGCAGCCGAGCGAGCGCCCTGGAGGCCGCGCCAGGGCCGAGCCGGGTCCCGACGGCGCAGCCATGGACGCCCCGCCGCTGGCCGGCAAGGTCGCGGCGCTGTCGCTGGGCGCCCTCCCGGTGTCCTACGCGCTCAGCCGCGTGTCGGCGCTCTCGCAGTGCGTACGGGCGGGGCGGCGGGAGGGGGAGGGTCCCCGCCGGGTCCCTGCGCCCCCGCCCGGCGGACCCACCCGCGAGGGCGCATGGGGGGCTGGGCCAGGAGTACCCCCCTGTAACCGGAAGCCCCCTTCCTGCGGGGTTGCGGGCGCTCTGGGGACGTTTGGGCTCTGGGTAGAAGGGGTGTCGAGGAGCAGAGACCCCCTGAGGGTTTCTGGGTGTGTTTCCCAGAGAAGGTTCCAAAGTCGCCAAGGGCCAAAGTATTGTCCCAGACAAGGTCCTGTGCCACACATGCCCTCCACCTCGGGCCTGGGACTCTCTTCCACACCCAGCTCAACCCGAGCCCCGGGGTAGAGTCTCGACCACGGGCCTGGCTCCCTGGGTAGGAATTCCTGTCTCCACCTCCTGGGACCCTGGGTAACCCCAGCTGCCTCTGGAGCCTGTGTTGCTTCATCTGTAGAATGGGCGCAATCCTAGATCTCATCCCATAGTTATGGCTAAGAATTTTTGCCAAATGTGCCCTGGTCTAATCTTGAGTCCTGTAATTGTCATTGTTGGTCGGATGGGACCGGGATGGAGATCTCAGGGGCAGAGGGGTTCGTGAGAAGGAGAGCGTGGGGAAGTGATGGGCAGACTTGCTGTGTGCCACTCCTGCCCTCTCTGGGCCTTGGTTTGCCCACTTGTGTTGAGGGATGCCCAGAGACCTGTTATCTACACAGTGAGTCGACCTGTCTTATCAGGTTGGTGGGGAAAGAGCGGGGCAGCGGGAGGGTGGAGTTGATGGAGGCATTTGGACTTTAGCAGGGAGGAGCCGGGAGCTTCTGTAAGGTCCACAGAACTGAGCGCGAGGAACCCTCCAGCACAGGAGCCGGGCCTGGCCACAGAGGGGCTTGGTGTTGTTGAAGGCTGAGCAGACCCAGTCAAACACGAATCAGCAAATAACGGAACAAACGTCTCCTCTGTACCTGGCCCAGGCTGGGCAAGGCTCAGAGAGGGCTTCCTGGACAAGGAACAATGTAGATGGGCCATGAAGGATGAATAGGAGTTTGCCAACTGGAAAAGCCTTTTGGAAGTGGTTTTCAGAAGGAAGAAACAGTGCGAGCAAGAGCAGCTTTGGGGACAGCATTGACGGGCAGACAGTTGAGCCTCATCTCCTGGAGCCTGCCCTTTTCCCACCAGGGAAAAGGTTGGGGTGAGGCCTCAGCACGGGGCCCCGGCCTCCCTGACTTGGTTTCCCTCCCCACAGCCCACTGGCGGTGGCTTTGATGAGCGGCCTGATCCTAGCTGTGCTCTTTGTGGTCGTCTACAGCTTGTCGCATAGCGAGATCTCCCACGACCCACTCTACGCCGGTGAGTCAGCGCGAGGCCGTGGGGAGGAAGACGGTCTGGGCCTCCACTGCAGACTTGGGGCCCTCGCAGAGCCTCCCCCATCAGACTGGAGCGGCTTAAAGAGCCCCCTCAGACTAGAGACCCCAAAGAGACGGGGACACCCCCGTTAGGGTGGGGAACCTGGAAGAGCCTCCGCCCTCAGACCTGGGGCGTCTCAGACCAGGGACTGTGTCCCCCCATCAGACTAGAGACCCCAAAGAGACGGGGACACCCCCGTTAGGGTGGGGAACCTGGAAGAGCCTCCGCCCTCAGACCTGGGGTGTCTGAGACCAGGGACTGTGTCTCCCCCCTCAGACTAGAGACCCCAAAGAGACGGGGACACCCCCGTTAGGGTGCGGAACCTGGAAGAGCCTCTGCCCTCAGACCTGGGGCGTCTCAGACCAGGGACTGCGTCTCCCCATCAGACTAGAGACCCCAAAGAGACGGGGACACCCCCGTTAGGGTGCAGAACCTGGAGCCTCCGCCCTCAGACCTGGGGCGTCTGAGAACAGGGACTGTGTCTCCCCCATCAGACTAGAGACCCCAAAGAGACGGGCACACCCCCCTTAGGGTGGGGAACCTGGAAGAGCCTCCGCCCTGAGACCTGGGGCGTCTGAGACCAGGGACTGCGTCTCCCCCTCAGACTAGAGACCCCAAAGAGACGGGGACACCCCCGCTAGGGTGCAGAACCTGGAAGAGCCTCCGCCCTGAGACCTGGGGTGTCTGAGAACAGGGACTGTGTCCCCCCATCAGACTGGCAGCCCCTGAAAGGCCTTTGCATCCCTCCGAGGTCTCCGGAGGGCAGGGGCCTCTCACATGAGACAGGGCCCCCAAAGGCAGGGACTGTGCCCCCCGCCAGACCGGGGACTTCTGAGGGCCAAGCTGTGCCTCCTCCTTCAGACACGTGGCATGAAGCGGGGCTGTGGTCATGTACCCTGTTGCGTGTTGCCGGGGACCGGGCTGGAGGCCTTGCCTGGAAGCTTTTTTTCTTTTTTTTTTTTGAGACAGAGTCTCACTTTGTTGCCCAGGCTAGAGTGAGTGCCGTGGCGTCAGCCTCGCTCACAGCAACCTCAAACTCCTGGGCTCAAGCAATCCTCCTGCCTCAGCCTCCCGAGTGGCTGGGACTACAGGCATGCTCCACTATGCCCTGCTAATTTTTTGTATATATATTTTTAGTTGTCCAATTAATTTTTTTCTATTTTTAGTGGGTGGGGAGGTCTCGCTCAGGCTGGTTTCGAACTCCTGACCTCGAGCGATCCTCCCGCCTGGGCCTCCCAGAGTGCTAGCATGACAGGCGTGAGCCACCGTCCCCGGCCTGGAATCTTAAATTCACTTCAAGCCCCGCCTTATAGCTGGCCTGAGCCTAAACCCCGCCCACACACGGCCGCGGCCCCGCCCCGCCCCCCACCCAGCCCCGCCCCCTCTCCCCGCAGTCTTCGCGGTCTTCGCCTTCACCTCCGCGGTGGACCTCATGATCGCTCTGCAGGAAGACGGCTACGTGACGGGCTTCGTGGACTTCTACACCAAGGAGGTACGCGGCGGCCGGGGCGGCCGGGGGTGTCCCCTGCCCCACCGCCCGTCTGAGCACCTGCCCGCACCTGCCCGCACAGGGCGAGCCCTACCTGCGCACGGCGCACGGGGTCTTCACCTGCTACTGGGACGGCACCGTTCACTACCTCCTCTACCTGGCCATGGCCGGCGCCATCCGCAGCAGGTGCGGGGCTGAGCGGGGCGGTTCCTGACCCTGGGAGGGAGGTCGAGTCCTCAGGTGGGGGGCCGGGCCGGGGTGGAGCCGGGGGTGTCTACAGGGGAAATCCGGAGGGCTTCCTCTGGGGCTCCAGCCAGGGGTGGAGGGAGAAGGTTCCGGGGAATGCCATCAAGCGTGGGTGCCGGTGGCCGGTCATCACCTGTACCCAACCTGTGCCCAGGTGGGTTCCCCAGCTCAGCTCCCTGCCGTCCCTTCCATCCTGGGCAAAACTGAGAGGGAGCTGGGGAACCCAGGCTGGGCCCCCGGCTGGGGCTCTGGGTTTGGGGGCGGCTGCCCGCCGGTCACCCTCGGTCCCCTGCCCAGGAAGAGATACCGGAACCTTGGACTCTACTGGCTGGGATCCTTTGTCATGAGCGTCCTGGTGTTCCTCCCAGGAAACATTCTGGGTAAGGACTCAACTTTGGGCCGGGCGCGGAGGCTCACGCCTGTCATCCTAGCACTCTGGGAGGCCGAGGCAGGCAGAACCCTCAAGGTCAGGAGTTCTAAACCAGCCTGAGCAAGATCAAAACCCAGTCTCTACAATAAATAGAAAGAAACTAATTGGCCAACTAATATATATAGAAAAAATTAGCTGAGCATGGTGGCACATGCCTGTAGTCCCAGCTACTTGGGAAGCTGAGGCAGGAGAATCATTTGAGCCCAGGAGTTTGAGGTTGCTGTGAGCTAGGCTGACGCCACCGGACTCACTCTAGCCTGGGCGACAGCATGAGACTCTGTCTCCAAAAAAAAAGAAAGATACCCAGCCAGGGCTCTGGCACGGCCCAGCCGGGCCAGGGAGCCCTTGCCGAGTGATGGCCTCTCCCCCACCGTGGCAGGCAAGTACAGCTCCGAGGTCAGGCCGTCCTTCTTCCTCACCGTCCCCTACGTGCTGGCCCCGTGCTGGGCCGGCATGAGGGTCTTCACCCAGTCCCGGGCGCCTCCCTGCTGCACCCCCGACGCGGTAAGTGCCCCCCACCCCCCGCAGGCCTTGTCCCGGGGCGCCTGCATGTCTCCCCCATTTGGTCAGAGTATTTGTCTCCTTGGTCACGAGGCGAGAAGGGAGGAGCCTTTGTGGGGTGCCTATGGGGTGCCAGGCCTCTCACGCTGTCCCTGCCTCTTGTGCTGTCTGTCTGTCTGTCCCTCACCTGGGGCAGGTGCAGCAGGAGCAAAGAAAGGGCCTTCTGCAGCGCCCGGCGGACCTGGCCCTCGTCGCATACCTCATCCTCGCCGGCTTCTTCACCCTGTTCCGGGGCCTGGTGAGTCTGCGCTGCCCACCTCCTGCCTCCCTCGCCTGGCCCACCTCTGCCGCCCATGCAGAAAAGCCGCCGCTCTGCTGTCTGATCAACCCGGGAAGTTCTTCACCGGCCGGGCGCAGGGGCTCACGCCTGTCATCCCGGCACTCTGGGAGGCCGAGGTGGGAGGATCGCTCAAGGTCAGGAGTTCGGAACCAGCCTGAGCAAGAGCGAGACCCCCGTCTCTACAAAAAAAAAAAAAAAAATAGAAATTAATTGGCCAACTAAAAATATATAGAAAAAATTAGCCGGGCGTGGTGGCGCATGCCTGTAGTCCCAGCTACTTGGGAGGAGGCTGAGGCAGGAGGATCGCTCGAGCCCAGGAGTGTGAGGTTGCTGTGAGCGAGGCTGACGCCATGGCACTCTAGCCCGGGCAACAGAGTGAGACTCCGTCTCAAAAAAAAAAGATCTTCATCAAGTCTGACCTGAGCGCTCCACGACAAAGCCCCCTTCCCTGTGACCTGGCTGAGCCTGGCTGAGAGCGGCCAGAGCGAGGGCTGTTGTCCCTGCCCAGGTGGGTGGAGGAGGCTTCCTATAAGAGAGACGTCTGAGGCGGGCGGTGGTTCGTCTTTCTGCCCCAGGTGGTACTTGACTGCCCCATGGATGCCTGCTTTGCCTACATCTACCAGTATGAGCCATACCTGCGGGACCCCGTGGCCTATCCAAAGGTGCAGGTGAGAAGGCAGATGGGGAAAGAGAGGGCCCTACTCCTGCCTGTAGGTAGGGGTGAAGTGCCAAAAGCACAAATGGAATGTGTTATCCTACCAAAAAAAAAAAAATACAGTTATGGTCTTCAGGTATGGCTGGATCCAGGAGCTGGAGGAGAGCTCTGTCTCTGGGTTCTGCTTTCTTTGTCTGGCTCCACTCTCGGGCAGTCCCTCTGTGGGGTAGATGGGGCCAGCCTACCTAGGGCAGCTCCAGGCTGCCATTCACCTGGAGGACCCAACAGGCACCCCAGAGCAACATGAGCCCTTCCTGCCCCAGACCTTAAGCACAAGTCTCAGGCAGGCTTGGACTGTCCCCGCCTGAGTCACGTGCCCGTCTCTTACTGGTCATCACGGCCAAGGGGCTAGAATGTTCTGAATGGCCAGGCCAGGGTCCCGTGCCACTTCTGGGAAAAGGTGGGTTTGTGTGTATGTGTGTGGGGGGGTCGGGGACAGGGATCCCCAAGGGAAACAGAGGAGCACTTTGCAGAGGGCCTGGGTGGGGCCTGAGGCTGCCCAGACCCTCCCTTGGGCCCCACCAGCTGGGGTGGCCGTTCATCCAACAGACTGTCCTGCCCACACCCCCCGACAGATGCTGGTGTGCATGTTCTACGTTCTTCCTTTCTACGGCTTGGCGGCCTACGCCCTCACCTTCCCTGGTTGCTCCTGGCTGCCCGACTGGGCCTTGGTCTTTGCTGGGGCCCTCGGCCAGGTGAGCAGGGAGGTGGGGGGCGAGGGGGTGAGCAGGCATGCAGGGGAGGTAGTTTCTGCCTGCCCATCAACCGCTTTTCTGTCTTCCCTGGGCAGTCCCCCAAGAGACCCCAGCCCCAGGCCCAATACTCCAGGATTCTCTAGTGTGGGGGACACAGAGCCACGGACAGAATTGGGGTCAGAAATGGGAGGGAGCCCGGGCGCGGTGGCTCACGCCTGTCATCCTAGCACTCTGGGAGGCCGAAGCGGGTGGATTGCTCGAGGTCAGGAGTTCAAAACCAGCCTGAGCAAGAGCGAGACCCTGTCTCTACTATAAATAGAAAGAAATTAATTGGCCAACTAATATATATAGAAAAAAATTAGCCGGGCATGGTGATGCATGTCTGTAGTCCCAGCTACTCGGGAGGCTGAGCCAGGAGGATCGCTTGAGCCCAGGAGTTTGAGGTTGCTGTGAGCGAGGCTGACACCATGGCACTCACTAGCCTGGGCAACAAAGTGGGAGACTCTGTTTCAAAACAAACAAACAAACAAAACAAAACAAAACAAAACAAATGGGAGAGAAGGAAGGACAGGGGCCAAGAGGGATTCCAGAGTTTCCTAGAAGCAGGGGCATAGCAGCTGGGCTTTGACGTATGAAGATGAGTTCTCCAGGCAGGGAAGGGTATTCCAGGAACAAGAACAGCATAAGGAAAAGCACAGAGGGGAACAGGGAACAGTGATTTGGCAGGGCTACAATGTGGGTAAAGGCAGAGATGAGAGAAATTGGCAGCTAGATAGTGAAGGCTTTGAACTCTGGGATTGGAGGGGGATTGTGCTGGGGGTAAACAGGGAGCCATGGGGGGTGTTTGAGCAGTGGAGGGCCTGTTCAGAGTCGGGGGCCTGTTGTATGGGCTCCTGATGGAGAGGGCTAAGGCCTGGGCCCAGGCCAGGGCAGTAGGGCCCAGCCAGCCGTCTACGGGGTAGAATCGACAGGATCTGTGTCAAGAGCTTGGGGGTAGGGGCGACTGGGAAGAGAGGCGGGTCCCGGGTCAGAGAGCTGGGGTGCAGGGCTTGGCAGACAGGTGAAGATGGGTCTTCTGGTTAGGTAGCTGGGGAGAGGCTCACAGACAGGTGGACAAGGACAGAGAGGGACAGACAGAGGGGAGACAGGTTAGCAAAGCCAGCGAGGCGAGGGTGGTGGTTGGAAGACCCGGGGTTGGGGGGGGTGTCAGGGGTCCTGGGCCTTCAGTCCCCTCCTGGCCCTGACGCCCACCTTTCCCGCCTGGCCACCAGGCGCAGTTCTCGCACATGGGCGCCTCCACGCACCTGCGCACGCCCTTCACCTACCGGGTGCCCGAGGACACCTGGACCTGCTTCTTCCTGAGCAACCTGCTGTACGCGTTGGGCCCCCACCTGCTGGCCTTCCGCTGCCTGCGGTGGCCTGCGTTCTTCCTGCGGCCACCACCCGCCGGGCCCCCGGAGCACCTTAAGAAGCAGCAGTGAGGAGGCCGTGGGCCCCCCAGAACTCTGTTTACAGGCCCAGCCGGCCCTGCCCGGCGGGGAGGGTGGGGTGGGTTTTTCGGGGGCAGGAGGGGTCGTCTCCAGATGTCTTCGGTCCTGGGTCTGGTGGTTGGAGGCCAGAGGGTGGGATGGGGGGGCGAGGGGCCAGGTGCAAAGACAGCCTTGCACGGCTGTCACCATGTCCCAACCACCCCCCAACACGGACTCCCCTACCCCCTCCCAGAATTTATCCTCCGTGCCTTTTAGTAAAAGTTCTTTTGACGTCCAAAACGTTGCCAGCTGAGTGTTTCGGGGGACAGGGGTGAAGGACCCTCTTCCTGGACCTCAGGGAGCCCACCCATCGCTGCGGTCATGGCCGTGGGGAGCCAGGGGGGTCAGCGGAAGTGAGCCTCTGGTTGGGGTACACGGCTGCACCTCCCAGATAGGGGACACCGAGGCTCGGGCTGGACCTGCCTGAGGTCACAGCTAGGAGAGAAAAGTCCCTGCTCAGCCAGGCAATCATAACCGACAGCATGGCATAGTTACCGAGCCCCGTGCTGAGGACACCTCCAGTGCTGTGTACTGAATCTCACCCCATATTCCAGATGGGGAAACTGAGGCTGGGGAGGCAGCCAAGGGGTTGGGGGAAGGGCCTCACCATTTCCTGGTTGCTCCTTTCTTTAATTTTTTTCGAGACAGAGTCTCACTCTGTTGCCCGGGCTAGAGTGGGTGTCATCAGCCTAGCTCACAGCAACCTCAAAGTCCTGGGCTCAAGTGATCCTCCTGCCTCAGCCTCCCGAGTAGCTGGGACTACAGGCACGCGCCACCATGCCCGGCTCATTTTTTCTATATATTTTTAGTTGGCCAATTAATTTCTTTCTATTTATAGTAGAGACGGGGTCTCGCTCTTACTCACGCTGGTTTTGAACCCCTGAGCTTGAGCGATCCTCCCGCCTCTGCCTCCCAGAGTGCTAGGATGACAGGCATGAGCCACCACGCCCCGCCCTGGTTTTTGACATCCCTGCTCCCTGCCCTGCCAACACTTACCAGGTCCTACTGTGTGTCTGGCCATCGGACCTGCACCAGAGAACCGGCAGTCCGCTTCCTGGCGGGTGGAAACAGGCTCAGGGAAGCCGATGATCTCCTCCAAGGTCCCACAGCCTGCAAGGGGCTCCACAGCCTGGATTTGGACTTGTGGCTCCAGGCCCCCTAGGCAAAGTGTGACCATTGGTGGGGGGGGGGGCCCACCCTGCAGAGTGAGCACCTTTTGGGTGCTGGAGCCCAGGACTCCACGATGGTCACCCACTGGACAGATGGGCAAACTGAGGCCTGCAGGCCTATCCCTTTAACCAGGTCACTTGGATCTCCTGCTACACCCAGGTAATCAATATGAAAGACTGGGGACTCCTTCAGCAGCCTCCTCCCCCTCCATTTTAAAGACGATTAAATCGGCCAGCCAGGTGGTTCACGCCTGTCATCCTAGCACTCTGGGAGGCCGAGGTGGGTGGATCGCTCAAGGTCAGGAGTTCGAAACCAGCCTGAGCAAGAGCGAGACCCCGTCTCTACTATAAAATAGAAAGAAATTAATTGGCCAACTAATATATATAGAAAAAAAAATTAGCCGGGCATGGTGGAGCGTGCCTGTCGTCCCAGCTACTAGGGAGGCTGAGGCAGGAGGATTGCTTGAGCCCAGGAGTTTGAGGTTGCTGTGAGCCAGGCTGACGCCAAGGCACTCACTCTAGCCTGGGCAACAAAGTGAGACTCTGTCTCAAAATAAGTAAATAAATAAAATAAAATAAATAAAGACGATTAAATCAATTAAGGCTCAGAGAGGTTCTTCCCTTGCCCACGGTCAGCCAGCAGGGACATCCCTGGCTCTGCGCTCAAAGTGCTCTGCACTCCCTCACTCGGCCCACGCACCCCACGCGCCGGGCCACCTCTCCCCGGAGCAGTAGGGCTCTGCGTCCCCTTTAACGCCCCCCCCCCGCGCGCCTCCCTCCTCCCCTTGCAGGCAGACGCCGGGATTGCGCCGCCCGCCCGCAGGGACCTGCCCAGTCCTTCCCCGCTGAGCGCGGCGCAGTCCGGCGCGCAGGGGCCGCTCGCCGGGGGCGCGAGGGCAGGATGGTGAGTGTGCTCGGGCGCGGGGCCCGGGCGCGTCGTGGGTCCCCGCATCCCCGCGTCCCCGCTCTGGGACTCCGTCTCCGTGTCTGGGAATCCGCGTCGCTCCGTGTGTGTCGCCGTCTCCGTCTCTCGCTTCTCCGCTGTCTCTCGCCGTCTTGTGTTCCTCACTCTCCGGTACTCTCTCCGAGCTCTCTGTCTCTCCATCTCTCTCTTTCTCCCCCTTTTCTCTCCTTCTCCGTGTGTCTCTCTTTCCTTACCCTGTCTCTCGCCCCGTCTTCTCTGGGCCCCTCTTCCTCTCCCTCCCCGTCTCTCTCTCTGTCTCCCCTTCCCTGCGTGCGCACTCTCTCCTCCGTCCCTCCGGCTTTCTGCCTGTCCCTGTCCTCTCTCTCCGTCTCTGTGTCTGTCTCCCCTTCCCTGTGTGCGCACTCTCTCCTCCATCCCTCCGGCTTTCTGTCCGTCCCTGTCCTCTCTCTCCGTCTCTCTCTCTGTCTCCCCTTCCCTGCGTGCGCACTCTCTCCTCCGTCCCTCCGGCTTTCTGCCTGTCCCTGTCCTCTCTCTCCGTCTGTCTCCCCTTCCCTGCGTGCGCACTCTCTCCTCCGTCCCTCCCGCTTTCTGTCCGTCCCTGTCCTCTCTCTCCGTCTCTGTCTCCCCTTCCCTGCGTGCGCACTCTCTCCTCCGTCCCTCCGGCTTTCTGTCCGTCCCTGTCCTCTCTCTCCGTCTCTGTCTCCCCTTCCCTGCGTGCGCACTCTCTCCTCCGTCCCTCTGGCTTTCTGTCCGTCCCTGTCCTCTCTCTCCGTGCGCCTCTCCAGCTCCCCGCACCCTGCGCGCCCGCCAGCCCGGTTTGCTGCAGTCTCCTGGCGCACGGATAACCTTGCTGCCGCTGCCGCCGCTCCCGCTCCTCCCCCATCCCAACCCGGCCGGGCCGGAGGGGGAGGGAGGGCGAGCTCCGAGCCTGGCGTGTTGGGGGTCCGGGGTCCGGCGGGGAGCCAGGGCAGGACTCAGGGAGGGCAGCCCAGGGGCGTGGGCTTCGCGCAGGAGCGAGGTCCCTGGAGGGTGCGGGCTGGGTGGGGAGTGACTTTCAGTTTTCTCTTTAGGAAGGGGGGGCGGTCTTTGGAACCCCGGCCAGGCTGGAGGCCTGGGAGTGAGGGAGGCCCTGGCCTCGGGGAAGGCGGGCCAGGGAGCCGGTCCTCCGGAGGGCAGAGGCTGGGAGGCTGGACTGAACGCCCGCCGTGTGCCCCCAGGTGGCCCTTGGTCCCCGAGCGCTCTTGGCGGCGGCCTGGGGAGTCCTGCTGCTTACCGCCCCCGCAGGGGCGCAGCGCGGCCGGAAGAAGGTCGTGCACGTGCTCGGTGAGTCGGGGCCACCGGAGCAGGTCTTGCCCCGCGGGAGCCGGGGCCAGGACGGATCACTCGGGTGCGGGGAGGGGGAGGGGCGAGGGCGTTCCTGACCGCCACGACCCCCCCAGTTCCTCTGCATCTGAGCCCCTCGCCCCCTCCCTGAGCCCCTGACCCCACGCAAGTCTTCCCGCACCCCTTCCCCAGGGTCCCCCTTCCGTCCCCCAAGCGCCCTCTCTGAACCCTGCTTGGTCGCCCGCAGAGGGCGAGTCAGGCTCGGTGGTGGTGCAGACGGCGCCTGGGCAGGTGGTGAGCCACCGAGGGGGCACTATCGTCCTGCCCTGCCGCTACCACTACGAGGCAGCCGCCCACGGCCACGACGGCGTCCGCCTCAAGTGGACGAAGGTGGTGGACCCCCTGGCCTTCACCGACGTCTTCGTGGCCCTGGGCCCCCAACACCGGGCGTTCGGCAGCTACCGCGGGCGGGCGGAGCTCCAGGGCGATGGGCCGGGGGACGCCTCCCTGGTCCTCCGCAACGTCACGCTGCAGGACTACGGGCGCTACGAGTGCGAGGTCACCAACGAGTTGGAAGACGACGCGGGCATGGTCAAGCTGGACCTGGAAGGTGACCGGCCCGCGGGCAGGAGCAAGCTTGCTTCCGAGGGGGGAACACGGTGGGGGAAACTGCGAGAGACAGAAACCAAATCGCTTTGGCCCGAAGGTGCTTAGGGGCTCGCCCAGATGTGACTCAAGGCGATCTTGCTCCCTAGGGACACTAGTAGTGTCTGGAGACATTTTGGGGTCGCCCCACTTGGAGAAGGGGGCTGCTCCTGGCTCCTAGCGTGTAGAGGCCAGGGACAGTCCCTCGCAGCAAAGAATGGTCCAGTTGGAAATGGAAATGCCACCAGTGGGAACCTTGAGAAATCCCGGGGTAGGATTCAGGCACGATGAGATGCACACCACTCAGAAACCCGGCCCTCATCTCTGCTTCCCTGAGGCAAGCTTCCCCTTAACGCAGCCAAAAACATGGTTCCAGGCTTTCCACCTCCCAGCTTAGCGGCTGATTTCAGAAGAGCATCAGCTAGAGTCCCAGAGTTGTCCCTCATTGGCCCAGCCTGAGTCACGTGCCCAAGTGGGAGCCAATGGCTGCAGCTCCCCAGAGATGGGATGCTCTGATTGGCTGCCTGAGGAGCTGGGAGGTGGGGTTTCTATCTGAGGACTCCCCTCCCACTTGGTTTGCCTGCCTCAGTCCGCCCTAGAAGTTTCTAGGAGAGATTTCAGGGCCTTCCCGTGCTGGACTCCCCAACTTTTACAAATGACAACAATAATTGCAGCAGCTCTCCCCATAAAGAGTGTTTTATTTTATTATTTATTTATTTTTTGAGACAGAGTCTCGCTTTGTTGCCCAGGCTAGAGTGAGTGCAGGGGTGTCAGCCTCGCTCACAGCAACCTCAGACTCCTGGGCTCAAGCGATCCTCCTGCCTCAGCCTCCCGAGTAGCTGGGACTACAGGCATGTGCCACCTTGCCCGGCTCATTTTTTCTCTATATATTAGTTGGCCAATTAATTTCTTTCTCTTTATAGTAGAGACAGGGTTTTGCTCTTGCTCAGGCTGGTTTTGAACTCCTGACCTTGAGCGATCCACCCACCTCGGCCTCCCAGAGTGCTAGGATTACAGGCGTGCGCCACCGCGCCCGGCCCACCCTAGAAGTTTCTAGGAGAGATTTCAGGGCCTTCCCTTGCTGGACTCCCCAACTTTTACAAATGACAACAATAATAACAGCAGCTCTCCCCATAAAGAGCATTTTCTTTTCTTTTTATTTTTTTGAGACAGAGTCTCCCTTTGTTGCCCAGGCTAGAGTGAGTGCCGGGGTGTCAGCCTAGCTCACAGCAACCTCCAACTCCTGGGCTCAAGCGATCCTCCTGCCTCAGCCTCCCGAGTAGCTGGGACTACAGGCATGCGCCACCATGCCTGGCTAATTTTTTCTATGTGTATTAGTTGGCCAATTGATTTCTATTTATAGTAGAGACAGGGTCTCACTCTTGCTCAGGCTGGTTTTGAACTCCTGAACTCAAACGATCCACCCGCCTCGGCCTCCTAGAGAGCTAGGATGACATGCGTGAGCCACCACGCCCGGCCATAAAGAGTGTTTTCAATGGGACAGGCACTCGGCTCTCTGGAGTCTCATTTAATTTTCCCCAGACTCCCAGGGAGACGCTATTACCAGCAAGTGGGCGACTGGCTCGGAGAGGCTAGAGCCCTGCCTGGGGCACGTGCTAGTGAGAGGCAGAGCCAGGATTCAGTCCCCCGTCTGTTGGCTCTGGCTCTGGGCCTGGCCCCTGCCTGCCTCTGTCCTGGGTCTGCTGAGTGTCCCAGCTCACCCCAAGCCCCGGCCCTCAAACACAGACACACGGAATACTCGAGCTGAGCTGACTGTGAGCCCAATGAGGGACAAGATCCAGACTCCTGAAAACGGAAGGTGGAAGGGACACCAATGGGTACCGCCTTGGGCAATGCTGAGGTAGATTAATGGGGTCTTCTTCCAGGGGCTCCCAGTCTGTGGGAGTCAGCGCTGGATGCAGACATTCGCAGCTGTGTGGGCTCAGGACTGGACTAGAGGGAAAGACCCAGTCCTGGGGGGATGTCAGAGGCAGGGCAGACTGAATGGAGGAGAGTTTGGGAGCTGGGTTTTGAAGGATGAATAGGAGTTCAACGGGTGGAATAGACTGGAAAAAACACGAGCAAATGTCCCCAGCAGTGGAAGAGGGGTGGACAAGATTAAGTATGCTAAGGAGACAGGTCAAGTGAATCCCAAGCTTAAGGCAAAGGGGGCCAGCCACAGGGGTATGAGCTGGGGAGGTGCATGGTCAGGTCTGAGGCCAACGGGAGGGATAGATCAGAATGTCCAGCTTGAAAAGTCACGTGGCAGGCACCGCGGCTATCAGGTGGATGGGGACGGGCTGGGACGCCCCAGCTGATCTCCGGGCGCCCCCCCATCCGCAGGCGTGGTCTTTCCCTACCACCCCCGAGGAGGCCGCTACAAGCTGACCTTCGCGGAGGCGCAGCGCGCTTGCGCAGAGCAGGACGGCATCCTGGCCTCCGCTGAGCAGCTGCACGCGGCCTGGCGCGACGGCCTGGACTGGTGCAACGCGGGCTGGCTGCGCGACGGCTCCGTGCAGTACCCGGTGAGCCAGCCCCGGGAGCCCTGCGGCGGCCTGGGCGGCGCCGGGAGCGCCGGGGCCAGCGGAGGCGCCAACGGGGGCGTGCGCAACTACGGGTATCGCCATAACGCGGGGGAACGCTACGACGCCTTCTGCTTCACGTCCAACCTCCCGGGTGCGTAGGCCCCGCCCCCAGACGGGTCTCGGCCCCACCCCCACCCCGCCCTCCCTCCAGCCCGCGACCCGGGGCCCTCCTTCCCCACCCAGCCCCGGGCGATTGGAAACCGTAGATCCCTCTCCCCAGACTGCCGCAGCGCAGCAGTCAAAAATCGCCAGGCACAGGGCCAGGCGCGGTGGCTCACGCTTGTAATCCTAGCTCTCTGGGAGGCCGAGGCGGGCGGATCGCTCAAGGTCAGGAGTTGGAAACCAGCCTGAGCAAGAGCGAGACCCTGGCTCTACTAAAAATAGAAAGAAATTAATTGGCCAACTAATATATATAGAAAAAAATTAGCCAGGCATGGTGGCGCATGCCTGTAGTCCCAGCTACTCGGGAGGCTGAGGCAGGAGGATCGCTTGAGCCCAGGAGTTGGAGGTTGCTGTGAGCGAGGCTGATGCCACGGCACTCTAGCCCGGGCTACGCAGTGAGACTCTGTGTCCAAAAACAAACAAACAAAAAAACGCCTGGCACCAACGGTGCCCTGGCTCCAGATGGGGTCCCGGGCTGCACCGGAGCCGCGATGCGTGGCTGGGGCTGGGGGGCGTCCTCGGACCCGGAGGCCAGTCCGGGCAGCGGTCCTAACAACCCGCAACCCGCCCCCTCCCACCCCTCAGGCCGCGTGTTCTTCCTGAAGCCGCTGCGGCCGGTGCCCTTCGCGGGAGCCGCGCGCGCGTGCGCCGCCCGGGGCGCGGCGGTGGCCAAGGTGGGGCAGCTGTTCGCCGCGTGGAAGCTGCAGCTGCTGGACCGCTGCACCGCGGGCTGGCTGGCCGACGGCAGCGCGCGCTACCCCATCGTGAACCCGCGCGCGCGCTGCGGAGGCCGCCGGCCCGGCGTGCGCAGCCTCGGGCTTCCCGGACGCCGCCCGGCGCCTCTTTGGCGTCTACTGCTACCGCGCGCCCGGCGCCCCGGACCCCGCACCTGGGGGCTGGGGCTGGGGCTGGGCCGGTGGTGGCGGGTTGGCAGGGGGCGCGCGCGACCCAGCTGCCTGGACCCCGCTGCGCGTCTAGCGCAGGAGCAGGCAGGCGGCTGGGGCGCTTGGCCGCTGGTCTAGTTTCCTGGGGTTCCTGGAGGCTGGCCGCATGCCCTGTGGTCCCTCAGAAACTCACCACGCCCCTAGCGTTTCTTGAGACTGGCCAGTCCTGGCGGACTAGTTACCCTGGAATCCCTTGGAGACTGGCCAAGCCCCGTCTCTTCTGGACGGCGGATTTTGCCCCTGCCCCGACTTTCGCCAGGAGAAGGGCCACCTGCCCTGAGGACCGCAGGAGCCCCGCAGTCTCCTCCCAGGACCACCTGGCATCAGACGAACTGCCCCCCTGTGGCCTCCTGGAGGCTGGACCCCCCGGGATTGTCTGGAGACTGGCCGCGCCCCCTCTGCGTCTCCCTGGACACTGAAAGCGGGTCCCTGGCGGTCACCGGGACACCGGCCCCACCACCACCTGGAGAGACTGTAGAAGCCTCAGGGTTCACACCCCCGTGGTCACGTGGAGGTCACGTGGAGGTCACGTGGACTCTGGGCTCAGGCACTTCCGGTCCCTCATGGAGACTTGGGGACTGGGTATTGCCATTCTCCCCTTCTCCCTGAGAGTCCCCTGAAGTTTTTCGGGTGACAGAAATCCATCCCTACGTGGCTGTGGAGGACAGCCCCACTCCTCCAGTTTCGTGGGAGAATAGTCTCATCTGTCACCTCAAAGGCAGATGGTGACGCCCCAGCCGGCTGGCATGTAGCGGCCATCCCTGCCCCTCAAGTACTTCTCTGGAGGGAGGGCAGACCCGCCCCGCCCCGGACAGCCCCTCCCTGGCTGTCACCAAAGAGACCATCTTCTGAGGCCCAGGGACCATAAGACCCATGTTCCTCCTTATGGAGGCCAGCTGCGCTGGTTTACCACTGTCACCATGGTGACCAGTCCAGCTTCTACCTGTCACCTAGAATCACACACCCCTTCCCAAGTCAGTCACATCCACGGAGATGGTGCCTCCTTCCTCCAGCTGTAACCATGGATACCAAGTAATTCCCATCTCACCCAGCCCTGCAGGCCAAAGACCTACAACTCTACTTCTGGGTGTCCCCACCCTGACTGACCACCAGGGAGATCACCCTACCCCCTAGCTGTCCCCAGGGCGACCCGACATTCAGTTCTCCCGCTGTCACCATGGAAACAGGCTGCCCCTTTCCAGGGGCCAGCTGGAGTTCCAGGCCATCTCCCAAGCTCCGCCCCTTTGGAGGGCAGCTTGGACCCCACAGCCGTTGCCATGGAGACCAGACTCTGGTGTCTGAGGTAACAGAACACCTGTCCCCCTAGGCTTTTTCTTGTGGAGGACGGGGCCCAGCCCTGCCAAGCTGTCACCATAGAGACTGTCAGTGTTGTCCCCATGACAACCGACCTCCCAGCTCTCAGGAAGTCTCACCGTGGGCCCAGTGTCCCTGGTGTCTCCCACTGGGCTGCCTCCTGTGCCCCGTCTGGGGCCTGATGGCTGCCCCTTCCCCAGATGGGCTCAGCCCGGACAGCATTCCCAGACAGGGCTGGCCTTCAGAGCCACTGGCCCCCTTCCATTTGCACGCCAGCCACACGCCAGACCGCAGCTGTGCACGAAACGCCCTTGCAACACCTGGGCACTTACACCGTCGCCCTGTGGACGGGGACACTGAGGCCTTGGCGCGCCCCAGCCCTTCGCATCGTGCAAGCACTGAGCTCCCCCTTGCTCTCTGAGACCTCGTCCTCATCCTCACCGAGTTCCTCCCTCCTTCCCCGACTCCCACCCACACCTTTCTCCTTAGAGACCTGGGAGGGGTGGCATGTTTCCTCAACTTCACAGTCCACCGGGTTCTAAGGGGCGATTTGCGCCAAGAGGTCAGGACCCGGCCAGACTCCCCGGGGTTGACAGCCAGCTCACGGGAGATGGTCCGCGGACGAGGCCACCCCAGCCGCAGGGAACCCCGGCTCCGAGGTCCTGCCTGGGGGAGCATGGAGTCCCTCCTGGACCCCTCCTTACAGTCACACCCATCTCTTGGTAACCCATCTCTTGAGGTTTGGAACCAGGGGGGCTTGGGTTCGAATCCTGTCTCTTCTTGCTCACTGTGTGACCAAGTGACAAAACTCCTGTGAGCCTGTTCCCTCCTGTGCACCAGGGCTGTTCTGAGGGCCCTGTGAGTGCAAAGCACACGGCAGGGGCTTAATAAATCCTTGTTTCTTTTGATGAATGAGAAAACGAGGCAGCCAGTGAGTAATTACTTTACAAATGCACTTCGGTGGACAAAATGTTTAGCAGCTGGGGGTGCTTGGTTTTGATTCGGTGGCAAAGCGGCACCCCTCATTCCTCAGGCCCCTCCCCTGTCCCCCAATCTCTCTCTCTCTCTCCTCCATCCTGTTCCTGCTCTCTCTCTCTCTCCTCCATCCTGTTCCTGCTCTCTCTCTCTCTCTCTCTCTCTCTCTCTCTCTCTCTCTCTCTCTCGCCACCCCCGTGGGTCCACCCCTTATCAACCCTGTCCTGACTAGGTCATGGACAATGCACCAGAAAGGCAATGAGATTGCACACACACTTTCCCTCTCGTGGGGGTGTCGGGGTGGTGGGGACTGAAGAGCAATCCGAGTTTCTAGAATACAAACAAAGCAAGATAAGAAAAAAAGTGTGAAGTCCTGGTGAGGTTGCAGGAGTACTTAATGTGACCACTCATCCTTCAATACCACCTGCAAGAGGGGTTCTCAAACTCCTGGCCTCAAGCGATCTTCCTGCCTCAGCCTCCCAAAGTGCTGGGATTACATGAGCCATCCTGCCCAGCGGCATCTAGAAACTCAAATCCCTCGTCTGAAGCAGGGGGCCAGCCCCTTGGTGAGGCTACCAAGGTCTCCAGCTGGGCCCCAGCTTCTTTAAATAGGGAAAATGGTAAGGGGCATGTTTCCGGAGATAAGTGCATGGGATCTCTTCCATCTGCCTTTTTGCCAATATCATTTCTCCCTTCTGTGGATTCCAGCTCCCTGGTTTTCCCCTGAGTATGTAAATTTCCCTCTTCTCTTCCCATGAGGGGCAGTGGGCCTGACTCCACCCACTTCTGGCTCAGCCAATGAAGTGCTGTGACTCATCTTCTTGGGCAACCCTGATTGGCCCAGGAGTGGGCATGGCCCAAAGTAGACCAATGAGACTCAGGCCCTGGGATTTTAGTGGACTGGTTTGACCAAAGGAACAGAACCTTCCTTCTTTCTGCTGAGGTCTCTATTCTGTCAGAGTGGATATCTCCAAGGCCAATCTGGGGACAGCTAAGGAATGGCAACCTGAGCAGAACTCTTCCTGAAGCCAGATATTCGGAAAAACATTCCTGTCTCTCTCCTGTCCTCCACCACCCAGTTCACATCCCAGAAATATCCCGTTTCTTACATGTCCTTCCAGAGATGTTATATATTCATTCAAACAAATATGCGTGCATACTTCTCCTCCCCATTTTTTTTACACAAATGATAGTGTGCAACCTATACTTTCTTATATTGTGGTAAAACTCAGGTGACATAAAATTCACTATTTTGGCTGGGCACAGTGGCTCACACCCGCCATCCTAGCACTTTGGGAGGCTGAGGCAGGAGGATCACTTGAGGCCAGGAGTTCAAGATCAGCCTGGGCAACATAGTGAGACCACCAGCTCTACAAAAAAATTTTAAAAATTAGCTGGGCGTGCTGGCATGCACCTGTAGTCCAAGCTACTCAGGAGGCAGAGGCAGGAGGATCACTTGAGCCCAGGAGATCGAGGCCCCATTGAGCTGTGATTGCACCACTGCACACGTGCCTGAGTGACAGAGCGAGACACTGCCTCTAAAAATAATAACAAAATTCACCATTTTAACACAAACACATAACATGAAACTATGCTAATATAAAAAGCATGATATAAAATTAATCATTTTCAGGTGAACAATTTGGGGGCAGTTAGTACATTTCCCAATACTGTAAAACCACCGCCTCTCTCTAGTTCCAAGATATTTTCATCACCCCAAAAGAAAATCCCGTACCCATTAAGCAATCACTCCCTATTCCTCCCTCCCTCAGCCCTTGGCAACTGCTAATCTACTTCCTGTCTCTATGGATTTGCCTATTCTTGATATTTCATATAAATAGCATCATGCAATATGTGAATATGTGGCCTTGTGTCTGGCTTCTTTCACTTAGCGTCATGTTTTCAAGGTTCGTCTATGTTGTAGCAAGTACCACGACTTTGTTCCCTGTTATAAATAATATTCCATGGTCATGGTGTGTATATGCCACATTTTTTTTTTTTTTTTGATACAGAGTCTCACTTTGTTGCCAGGCTAGAGTGAGTGCCGTGGCATCAGCCTCGCTCACAGCAACCTCAGACTCCTGGGCTCAAGCAATCCTCCCGCCCCAGCCTCCCGAGTAGCTGGGACTACAGGCATGCGCCACCATGCCCGGCTAATTTTTTCTATATATATTAATTGGCCAATTAATTTCTTTCTATTTATGGTAGAGACGGGATCTCACTCTTGCTTAGGTTGGTTTCGAACTCCTGAGATCAAACAATCCGCCCGCTTCGGCCTCTCAGAGAGCTAGGATTACAGGTGTGAGCCACCGCGCCCGGCCTATGCCACATTTTTTCAATCCATTCATCTGTCAATGAATGTTTGGATCGTTTCTACCTTTTGCCTATTGTGAATAATGCTACTATGAACATCAGTGCACCATATACACCTTTAAGTAACTCTTCCGTAATTTTTTATTTATTTTTTGAGATGGGCTCTCACTCTGTCACCCGGGCTGGAGTGCAGTGGCGTCATCACAGCTCACTGCAGCCTCAAACTCCTGGGCTCAAGCGATCCTCCTGCCTCAGCCTCCCGAGTAGCTGGGACTACAGGCATGCGCCACCATGCCCGGCTAATTTTTTCTATATATATTAATTGGCCAATTAATTTCTTTCTATTTATGGTAGAGACGGGATCTCACTCTTGCTTAGGTTGGTTTCGAACTCCTGAGATCAAACAATCCGCCCGCCTCGGCCTCCCAGAGTGCTGGGATTACAGGCGTGAGCCACCACGCCCGGCCTAAAGCCGAAACTCTTCATGACAACTCGCATGGCCCCGAGTGGTCCATTCCCTGCCTCTCTGACCTCATCTCCTTCCACTCTGTCTCCATCCCTCTGCTTCAGCCACTGTGGACTCAGACGAATCACGTTCCCTTCTGCAAGAGGGCTTTGCTTCTCCCTCTGCCTGAAACTCTGCCTTTCTTCGCCTCCTCATCCAGTTAATGCTGCTCCTCCTTTAGATCCTGTCCCCTTCCTCTGGAAAGCCTTCCCTGCCCAGCCCCCAGGAACCAAATCTGTCCCGTTCCCCACGATCTCCCCAGCACCCAGCTCTATCGTGGCTACTCGGTAAATACTTGCTGAGTGAATTTGGATAAAGGAAGGAAGGTGGGTCAGGAGGGCGACAGGCAGGTCGAACTGTTAAAAAATTTTTATTAAAACGTCCAAGAAGTACATTAATGTCCACAGTGTCAGATAGCACAGACCCACAGAACACTGCGGCTCACGGCAATACCGGAACCCAAAGCTGTTCTGCACGTGCGCGCACGCACACACACACGTGTGCCACGCACCTGGCACACGCGAACACACACGTGTGTCCCGGAGGGAAAGGCCAAAAGACAAACTGCCCACTTCAGAAAAGACCGGAGCCCACTCCCATCGTGGAGCTGGGGTGGGGGCAGGGCAAGGGGCTGAGGGGGCCAAGGACAGGAAACATACACCAAGATGCCCCCCTCTCTCCACCAAGAAGCTGTGTCCTCAGTATCTCCTCCCCCCAAACACAGGAAAGACTTTTTGGGACATGGGTGAATGAAGATATTATTATTATTTTAAACTAAGAAGAGTTATCAACGTAAGAAGCCAAACCAACCTACGTCCCTGGGTTTTCTCAGCCATAACCGTAGGGTGCATAACGACTGTAGCAGGAGAGATTGAAGATGAGGATTCAGGGGTCCACTCTGCACACTCAACCACGCCCTAAATCTGTGTGTGTGTGTGTGTGTGTGTGTGTGAGGGGCGGCCGGGGGCACAGCGAGCGCAGTCACCCTTCCATCTCTTCCCTCCAAGTCCAGAGCAAAGCGGGAGCAAGTCCTTACTCCTGTCTTGGCTGGGACCTCAAACCCCTGCCTCTCCCTTATAGCCGAGCCTCGGTTTCCGTGTGTGTAAAGTGGGAAAATAACGGACCCAAAGATGTCACTGCGTTGTTGGGAAGATTCACGGAGATCGTGTGCAAGTCCCTAGCGTGGTATCTGTTCTATTGCTGTCAACCGTGGGGGGACTTCCCATGGGGGATCTAGGCTCAGCTAACTCTTTTTTCTTTTCTTTTCTTTTCTTTTCTTTTCTTTTCTTTTCTTTTCTTTTCTTTTCTTTTCTTTTCTTTTCTTTTCTTTCCTTTTCTTTTCTGTTCTCTTTTCTTTTCTTTCGTTTCCTTTTCTTTTTTTGTTTTGAGACAGAGTCTCACTCTGCTGCCCAGGCTAGAGTGCCGTGGCGTCAGCCTCGCTCACAGCAACCTCCAACTCCTGGGCTCAAGTGATCCTCCTGCCTCAGCCTCCAGAGTAGCTGGGACTACAGGCATGCGCCACCACGCCCGGCTCATTTTTTTTTCTATATATTTTTAGTCGGCCAATTAATTTCTTTCTATTTTTAGTAGAGACGGGGTCTCGCTCTTGCTCAGGCTGGTTTTGAACTTGAGCGCGATCCTCCCGCCTCGGCCTCGCAGGGTGCCGGGATGACAGGCGTGAGCCACCGGGCCACGTTTCTTTCTTTACTGAGCCCCTAGGTGGAGGGTGACGTATTTGTTTATCTTTCTTTGCTGCCGGGGCTCATTCTCCACCGTGGGCGTTTTCGGTGCTAATCCACAGACTTTCCCCAGACTGGAGGGAGGGGTTCGGCGTGGGTAACAGACATGGAGGGGAAAACTGGGGATCTTTCCTGCCAGAGACCAGGGACCTAGACCCTGACCTCTGGTGTGGGGAGGCGTTTTGCAACTTGCAGATTTGGAGGAAGGAAGACAAGGTGAGCGCTCTCCCACTTAAACAAAACATTAAAAGCTACAAGAGAAAACTCAGTGCGTATGTGCGTGTGTGTGTGTGTTTCAGTTTTAACCTTGCTCATCTCTCTACAATATGACCGCAGGTCAGCGTCACTACTTCAAGTTTTATGCGTTTCTAGTCCACCAGGCAGTGGCTGG